TAATATAGCAAATTCGCTCTTCAAAGATATACCAAATCAAAACACCCATACAGTAATTGTTTAAACCATGGTGAAAACCTAAAAAGCAGAACAGATAGTTTTGTATGTCATATTCTAGCAACTACTATGAGGCAGTAGTTGATTTAGTTCAAAAAAGAACTAGTTCAAAAAAGAACTAGATCTAAAAAAAAGAACTAGATCTTTCCCATACCCACACACACAAAAAGAAATTTCCTCTTGCATTTTGAGATGGATTCACTTTTTTGAGATAGATTCACTCAATTAACGAACAATTATTTTCTTCTACCTAATGTTAATGAGCTTCACTATTATTCTCCTAGCAAAACAGAACCAACAAAGACTCTTATCAATCACTGTTTTAGAATTTCCCTACTTTGAATCCAAGTTCCTTGAAATCTGGGAGCTTAAATTTTAAATTGGGTGACTAAAATGAAAAAAAAAAAAAGACTAAGTGCAAACATTTTTCTTTAATAATAAAGAAAAAAGTATTTTAAAAAAGACACAAGTCAGATCAAGGATAAATGCCATTCGTTAATCCTATTTTCAAGTTTATTTTAAAGTCAATTTTGCAGATGATTTAGTTCATTATCAATTGTGGGCCATTTTGAAGAAGACATGGAAAGTCTCTACCCAAGTACACTATGGTTGTAAGATTTATGTTGGCTTTTACACATTTTTCCACATTTCTTTTGTTTCTGTCTTAAATAAAAATGAGCATTGTCAAAATGTTAGCATTGTCATTGTGAAAAGAAGGGTGAAAAATGAAAATAGTCTTCCAAACTATAAAATTATGTATATACTCCTTGGAAATACTTGATTAACTCCAAAATGAGATAACTACACACACATACACACACACACACACACACACACACACAAGCGCACACACACGGGCATGCAAAAATCCTATTAAAGAAAAAATAATTAATGTCTGCTGTTCAAGGATGAAAAGTGAATTGTAAATACTTATGTAAAAGTTAAAAACCTCTACCAAATTATTTAGGGCCTAGATTTGAACTACAGTTGGACCAGCAAAAAAAAAAAAAATTCATCATATAGAATAGTACAGGGGCTAGAGTGATAGCACAGTGGGTAGGGCATTTGCCTTGCACGCAGCCAACATGGCCAACCCGAGTTCGATTCCTCCGCCCCTCTCGGAGAGCCCAGCAAGCTACCGAGAGTATCTCGCCCGCAGGGCAAAGCCTGGAAAGCTCCCTGTGATGTATTCAATATGCCAAATATAGTAACAAGTCTCACAATGGAGACGTTAATGGGCCCGCTCAAGCAAATCCATGAACAACGGGAGGACAGTGACAGTGACAGAATAGTACAGAGGGTAGGGTGTTTGCTTTGCACAGGGCTGACCCAGGTTTAATGCCCCAGCATCCCATATGGTCCCCAGAGTATGGCCAGGAGTAATTCTGAGGGTAGAGCCAGGAGTAATCACTGAGTATTGCTGAAGTGGCCCAAAAACAAACAAAAAAAATCACCTTAGAAAATAAGTGCATTGATAATTATAAGCCTGTTTTCACAGTAATCATTGTGCTGCTATTAATAGCTACCCCTACCTGGCACCAGGACTGTCATTTGTTCATTCAAATAAAAGATAAAATTGCTCAGAAGCCAGTGAGAGGGCTCTGGACACTTTCACGGAACTAGGCAGGAGTTGAGTGAGAGGGTACAAAGGAAAGTATCTTATGCTATATTTTCTGTGTGAGCAAGCACAAGATATTTCTTATAGGAAGAATTTCTGAATTGTAAAAATGGTCAAAAGTAGCCATCATAGGGAGGTTGGAGTGTTGAAATTTGAGAATGGAAGAATGCTAATGACTAGAGGTGATGGACCAGAACAAGAAGATTCACAACCGACAATGCCCTTTGGTATTCATATTTCTGGCTGAATTCCAATTCCAGATGATTCTGTCTGCACCAACAAGAGCAAAAACAACAGATTCACCCCAATGCTGCCTATGCATGCCTCATTAAGCAGACCAGAGGACCCTGTCGAAAGTTGGGGCAATAAGAGAGATTGTTTCGTTTGTTTTTGGAATAATTTATAAACCCACTGAGAAGAATGTAAATAAATGTAGCTCACAAACTACATCTGTTTTTTTTTCTACTTTTTCCAGGAAAATCAAGAAGCATCTTGTGTAAGGCCTCTATCTTGCAGAGGTATGATATAATTATGTTTCTTTGGAGTTTAGCCACTGCACTAAGATGAATTCCAAATATATTTGGTCAAGATCTTTGCTTTAAAAAAAAAAAAAGACTTGGGACCAGGAGGATAGCATGGTGGATAAAGCATTGGTCTTGCACGTGACTCACCTCGTTTCTATGCCCAGTATGTGGCTCCCAGAGCACCACCATCAGGAGCAAACCCTGAACATAACCATACGGCCTCAATCCTTCCTCCTTCCAAAATTTTATCCCATTCCATTAAGCTTTTGTTACATTAAGTAGCACTGCACTGCACTGTCCTCCCATTGTTCATCGATTTGCTCTAGCGGGCACCAATAATGTCTGCAATGTGAGGCTTGTTGTTATTGTTTTTGGCATGTCGAATATGCCACGGGGAACTTGCCAGTCTCTGCCATGCAGGCAGGATACTCTCGGTAGCTTGCTGAGCTCTCGAGAGGGGTGAAGGGGCAGAGGAATCGAACCCGGGTGGGCCGCATGCAAGGCAAATGCCCTGACCCCTGTGCTATCACTCCAGCCCTTGTTACATTAAGTATTATAGTCAATTTCAGTCCCTCTGAGCCTCAGGCAGGCTTTGACTAGAGCACTGGCTGTGTGTCCATTAACTCAACTGTGTTCTCAGCCTCTGCTGATTCAGCTTACCTTTTCTCAATTACCACACTGCTCAGCATGACTTGTCAGAGGAATTTCCAAGTACAGTGTGATGTCAGATGCCACAGTGCCAGCAGCCATCTGCCTCACTGTGCTATCAAATATGCTAGACTCTAGCTTCTGTGATAATGGGGATGCTAGATGATACACCAAGTGGTTAAGAGCTCTAGTCTTGACACCTAGACCACTTGAACTTGGGTCCACCTGCAGCACTTGTTTGCTGCCTAGTTTTGAGCAAGTTCCATAGTTCTTTAACATCTGTGTGCTTCCCTTTCATCATCTATGGTAATAATACTCTTCTTTTTGTAATCATACTCTTGACCTCATTGAGATATCATGAGAATTGTCAGTATACTAAATATGCCTAAAATAGTAAGTTCTCTGAGGTATGTTATTTTCCTCATATTCTCATTATTCAATTATTGACTGTTATTTACTTAGTGTCTGAAATGGTACCTGGCACAATGCGGTACTCATCCAAATGTTTGAGGAATGAATCAATAAAATAACAAAGTGAATGGGCTCAATAAGACTACAGCTTAATTGTAAATCTTTGGAGTGGAGTGATAGCTGAATGGGCGGGAGCTCATGTTTTCTTCAATCCCTAACCCTCATGATCTATAACACTGAGCCAGGACTATCCCCTGAGTGCTACTGGGCACGGCTCAGAAACAAAACAAAGAGAGAAGAGGAGAGGAGGGGAGTAGAGGGAAAGAGAAAGGTGAGGAAGGGAGCGATGGGAAGAAAGGGAAGGGAAATTATAAATCTTTCAAGAATACAAACAAGCTAGTCCACTGAGCCCTGCCAGAAATGATCCCTGTGCATAGAACCAGGAGTAAATTCTGAGCACTTCTGGGTATGACCTGAAAACAAAAGAATGTAAGCAACCAAAAAGTTCCAAGAATCAAAAAAAAATTCAATTATATTATGTAGTAAAAATTAAATATTCAAAAGAATACTCAAAATTAAAATCCTAAAAATAGCCATGTTACTAATCTTAATCTGAATAATCAAAAACTAGAATAAAATTGCAATCATCACCATTTCCAGATTATATATCATATTGCTTTCAAAATTCACCAAAACTTTCTATCTCCATAAAACTCACACTATTAAGAAGGCAAGTTGGGAGGGAGGGAACCTGGGGACATTGAAGGAGGGAAGTTGATACTGATGGCGGGTTTGGGGTTGGGGCATGGTATTCTTGAAACTCTACCATGAACAGCTTTATAAGCATGACTCCTTTAAAAATATATATTAAAATAATAACTTATCACTGTATCACTGTCATCCCGTTGTTCATCGATTTGCTCGAACAGACACCAGTAATGTCTCCATTCATCGCAGCCCTGAGATTTCAGCAGCTTCTCCTTACTCGTCCTTCCCAACGCTGCTTTATTGGAGGCTCTTTCAGGGTCAGGGGAATGAGACCCATTATTTACTTTAAACAATTAATTAAATAACATGCCATCTCCTAATAGTATAAAATACAATCCTTAAGTAGCCAGAGTCTATAAGTTGTCAGAATGCTCCAGGCTTCACCCTTTCTGAAGATCACTCACTGCATTTTAGGACCCAAACGAGTTATCTGCAAGATACCACTACTCATAATTACAAACCTCTCTGACTATAATTATTTTGTTGCATGTTTTCAAATTGCAAACAGATATCATAATATATTTTAATTTGAAAAAGCTAAAAACTACCTCAAATTCCTTTTGGAGAAATAAATAGTGGGGAATTCATGGGAGCCATTAAAGTCACAGAATGGAAAGCAGCCAATACTTTCCTAACAAGAGAATTTCAATGACTACTAGTTCATTGCCCACTTTTTAGCACTATATTTAGGCCATCCATGTGTTAGTCAACAGTTGAGCACATATTTGTCATTCCTGCTGATTTGTTCACATGGCTGTTCATCCATTTAAGTCACACCACAAACCCAGAAAGGTCTGACCCATTTTCAAAAGTGCAAAAAGTTAGGTCAACACCCACATATGAGGTGCCAAAGCCTCTGTATTAAATATTTATGGGGTATCTTCAAGTAGAAATGCTCAGACAAACAAATCAATATTTCCCATGACCTTGAACCATTTTGCTTGGGAAGGATATTTTCATTCACAGCTTCATACCTTTAATTCTCCAATGGAGGAAAGCAGTCCTGCTCCATATGCCCGCAGTTGCCCTTCTTGCTTGCAAAGGCCAAACTCGATTGTGAAGAAATAGCACTGAGGGAAAAAAAAAGGACCTAGTCAACATGTTCTCCTATAAGGTAAAATGGCACCCAAATTAAATGGTGCACTGTACATAATTTTTAGCACAATCTATTGAGATATATTTCACTCAAGAATATTTTAAAAACATTTTTTCCTGCTTGATAATTCCTTCCTAGGTTAAAAATATATGAAAAATATATGTATTAATAGCTGAAAATCTTATGATTCCTGGATACAGAAACACACAAGAGTCAAACAAATCATATCCCCTACAATCATTTTTAAAATAAAAAGCACAGATTTGGAAATAAATATGTCACAGTGATCACACTATAAGAATATGCTACTATATTTATCAAGTTGTGTTTCAGTGGCATAAATAAGTTCATGTAAATATAAATATGGAAACATAACTTGAAATCCAGTAATTCTAAATTGATTTTTGCAATTTGTTTATTTATTTGACAACAACAAAAAAAATTTAATTAACTACTAGGTTCCAATCATTAGTTTAAAAATTATGGTAAAGAAAACAGAGACCAAGAAAGCAAGCACATGTCAACAACTTACCAAATCTATGACTCCACTGTTAAGGATTTTAGTGAAAAACATTAAACGCATTTCCATGTACTATACACACAGATAAATATGTGTGCTCATGTGTCTATATCCACATATACATATATAAATAAGATCATACATACAAGTATACATATGTAAGTTAGAACCATTTCAGTGTCCCAATCTTATCATTATCAACTGCTACAGCTTCCCCAAGACATTAAAATCTACAAGTGCTTCTACCGAGTTTAACAAATCAACATGGACAGACATAAATCTCCGTACAATTGAAAAATGCACAAAGCTCCCGAGAAACGTTAATATCACACTATTATTGCTCTGAAAGAAAAATCAAGGGAAACTGACAATGAGCAATAAAAAATGCATCAAATTAGCACTGTCCTGCATTGGTGATGATAGAGAGCTGAAGGTGTTAGAAAGAGGAAAATTTAAACACTCCTTAAAGGGGGGCAAAAAAATAATAATTTCCAGCCCTTGGCAGTTTGCTCTATTTTCATTTGGAGGTTAAGATGTTCCTCAGATCTGAAGTATTGGTTGATACCTTTTTTTCAGTGTGATGAAGATATCTGAATTTGAAGAGCCTGTCTGCTATGCAGCACTGGGCTAGACCTGAGGAGTAGTCATTTTCGGTCATGGAGTTGAAACTCTGGAGGCAAATTTCTTTTCCTGGTACACCGCCCAATAATACTAAAACAATAGCCCTTCCTTCTCCAGTCCCCTCCCACAGTGTCCAGCAAGAATTCCTCCTTCCTCTCTTCTGACTTGACTTCCCATTTTTCCATTCTTTATCCATCCTTTCATGGTCTTTAACTTCTTTATATACAATATTTCCATTGACATCTGCCTCCACACACAGGACAATAATCTATGAGCACAGGTGTCTCTGCTTCTCCAGAACTGGGTTACCCAACCTCAACACTATTGACATTTTAGACAGGAAAGGTGGTTTGTTTGTTTGTTTGTTTGTTTGTTTGTTTGTTTGCTTTTTGAAGAAGGGCTTTATTTGATGGGAACTTTATTTGAGGGGTTATTTTCTTTTGTTTTTGTTTTTGCCTTTTGAGCCATACACAGATTTTCTCAGGGCTTACTCATTGCTATGTGCTCAGGAATCACCCAGTGATGGTCAAACATGCATCAGTCATGAGCAAGCAAGTTGCTGCTATACTATCTCCCCAACCCAAGAGAGGACAATTTTTTGTACTGTATCTTAAAGGATGTTTAGCAGCATCCCTAGCCTCACTACTCACTAGATGCCAGAAGCATCTCCATCCCATGTTTTTGTAGGAACCAAAAACATCCCCGTACATCTTAGTACCACCAGTACTACAGGACTAAAGCAGCATCTAGTCCCCGGGTCCTAGCACTGACCCCCTACCCCAGATAGCTTCATATCACTGGGAGTGAACCAGAGGCTCCCAGAGTACCACTTGGGAAGATCCCAAATACAAATATCTCTAACATTGGAAAATATCTAGAGAAATGGACATCACATCACTCCTAATTTAGAACCACTGGCACAGAATGATATCTGAACTATGAATACTCAAGAACTCAAGAACTATTTGCTGTGTAAATAAATAGTCAATGAATGAATGAAAATAGGCTAGTTGTTCAATAGCATTACCTGGAGGAAAGAAACATTATAGATTGCCTGAGTTCTAGTCTCAACCCTATTTCTAATTAGCTACTTGACTATATCCGCTCTATGTGTAGCTTTCCTGTCTATTCATTCATTTCTTCTGCTAATACTCTTTTAATACATCATATATGTCACCTAACCATTGAAGATGTACAATGAAAAATGTAACAAAGCACTTGATCTCATGAGGAATGTATGCTAGTAGAATGAGACAGACAACAGTAGTAACAACAACAAAAACCAATATACAGAATAATATAAGTGAAATATGGTATGTAAATAATAAAACCATACGTTTACATTTTTAGCAGTGAGCAGTTATTCAGATGGAGTGATCAGGAGAGGCAGGAGAGGCATCTCTGAGGGAATGAAATTTAAGCTATAACTTTCTTGAAAAATCAGCCCTTCATTTAGTAACAAAAAGGTCAGTTGTGAAAAGATCTGGGGTGAACAATTCTCATTCCTTTGTGGGTGTATAACATAATGGGAAAAGAACAAGTGCAAAGATACTGAGGCAGGAACAGACCTGTACTTTCAAGGACAATGATAATTCATAGGAAGGTTTTAAGCAGGAAAGAGAACATTTTGATTTGTTTTCAAAACACATTCCTGGTGCTAAATAAAGAACATATTGGGAGCTGAGGTGTGTGTGTGTGTGTGTGTGTGTGTGTGTGTGTGTGTGTGTGTGTGGTGTGTATGGTGGGGCGGCGGGGGTCTGGGCAGAGGAGTTTGAGACTATAGGAGCAGACAGATCCTTTCAAAGGCAGAAGGATCAAGGATCAAGGGTGGTGGTGAATGACTTAGACTATGACTTGAATGGATGTAAGAAGGGAGTTCTAATTAGCTACTTGACTATATATATACTTGACTATTATATAAGGAAGAAGGGAGTTCTAATTAGCTACTTGACTATATGTACTTGACTACTTGAATACAAGGGAGAAGTCAGAATCATACAAATAACCAATACAAAGACATGTTAAATATCTAAAATATAACCCTCAAGTCTGTCTTTCAGGATTGTGTAAAAAAAAATTACAGTCTAGGTGATAACATTTAAGAGATCTAGAGTTTGGTACATTAAAGAGCTAGACATCTGTTACTTTGGAGCTTCTAGGAAAAGACAAATACCATATGATCTCACTCATATGTGGAATATAATGAAATGAAGCAAGGGATGCAGCAGCAGAAGCAAGGGATGTCCCTGATGAGACAAATCCTGATATGGGGAGTCAGCAGAACTGTGAACTAAGGATGCTGAAGATAGGGGTGTGGGGGGTTAGGACCATGGGACCATAGTGGAATGATCTTGACACTCTGGTGCTGGACATGATGAAGTAATACTGCAAGGAACTATGATACTCAATAAAAACCAATAAGGGTTTTCTTTCTAAAACATTCTATTTAGATATATGTTCTTTTTTAAAGTTTTCAAGGTAATTTTTTGGTAAAAAAAAGTTAATGTTTCATTTCCTTTATTACCAAAATGGAAAGAATCTAAAACAGAGGAAAAATTAAGATCACATGACATCTCTGTAGTGTATCTTTGTCTGATTTATTTACGTTGCTATTTATAACACATAGTGTGAAATCCTTGGTTCCTTGACACTGAATTCATGGCCAGAGATGTTGCTCAATGGTAGAACACTTGCCTCGCATATGTGAGGTTTTGGGTTTTATTCAAGCAATAAAAATTTATAGCAATAATAATAAGTTGAATGACAAATTGAACACAAAGGTGTTTGTAGGGAAAAAAATAAATATACTATCACATTCAAAAAACTTCAAAATGCACACATGAAGCCAGCTACGCAAACATTGAAGTCAGTCTATTAAGTTCAGATTTAATTTCCTCCTGTTGTGTCACTGCATATACAAAGTATGATCATGATTATAACCACAATCAAAACAGACTAAGTTCCTGAAAAATATTCTAGTGTATCATATCACAGTTTTCACATAGATTCGACATCCCCCTTCTGTTTTCAGGAAGGAATGAAAAGATCTGCATAAACTGAATTAAAGGCTTAAAGTTAAATCTACCAATATATCTTAGGTTTGGGTATTTCTAGAATCAGAGTATTTCTAGAATCAGGACAACCTCAGAGTAAAGAGTGACTGTATATCATGAAGAATGTTCTCTGGACCCACACCCCACATGAGAAGCCTTCCAGAAACACTGACCTTACACAGATTCATCTGCTCATATCCTACCTTTCCCTCTGGATTCCTGCTGTCCTGAGCCCAGGAAAGTACCTATCACCTCCTCTAGCTCACTCTATCCAGAGAATTAAATCTTTTGCTTTGAGGCAGCTTTCCATTTGCAACTCCATTTGTAGCAAGTAGAAAAGGAGAAACTGCAAAATACACCTACACCTTGGGTACTGGAAAAATTTTAATTGTGTACACTTAAAGATAAGTTTTGTCTATTTTCTGTTTTAAATACCATTTGAGAGTATAGAAGGTTCTAGACATGACAACTACCGGGATGTAGGGGCAGAGGGAAGGGGGGAGGAAGGCAGCCTATGTCTTCTGTCTGATTTTCCATGCAAAGTCTGCCTGCAGTCGAACTGAACGACTCCTTGAAGACCTTTCAAAATTCAATAACTAATTGCTTGCTGAAATTTTAAGAAAATACCATTTTCTTTTCTCTGAATACTCTCCAGCTGCGAATCTATAATATGTTCCCTTAGAGATTTAACAAATAAATATCCTACCTATTATTCCCACCCCCCTACCATCTACCAAAAATACCAGAATTACGGAAAACAGTCCTGGCCACTAATGTCTT